TTTTTTTTTTTTTTTTTTTTTTTTTTTTTTTTTTTTTTTTTTTTGGTAATTATACGAATTTCGGAACAAATCCGATTTGTTGCTTGTACGTGTACGTGTATTTACGTACTTGGTCACGTACGTGTACACGCGCAGTGTATGTCGCGTGTACCTCGGAGATACACGCGCGTGATTACTCTCGATTACTTGCTTCGGCTTGCAATTTCCCTTTCGTTCGCACGCGTTTCGTACGGTATTCGTATACCGTACGAGCGTGCGAATACCGTGTGAAACGCTACCGCGACCAACGATCGTGGATGCGACGAGAGTAATCGATCAACGCGATCTTACAGTAAAAAACGTAAAATTATCGATCGAAATTATATTTTGATTAGGCACGATGCATTTGTGTCGTCAAAAGAGAGAACGATACGCGACTCCGGTTCGTTTTTTCCCCGACGAATTTTCGATCGCAGTTGCGCCACGACGTCCACGATGCGCCCGTTACGCTCCACTCGCAATTGCGGGACACGCCGGTTTTTCGCGGATTTGACGAAATGTGTTTTCGTCGAACGCCGCGTTGCATCTTTCTCGCGTCGCGATCCTTTCCCTTTCCCGTCGGTATAGACACGGTCGTCGCGATAGACGAAAACGAGGGGAACGTCAAGGGCGCGGTAAAAGTTAATCTCGTTTTCGATTCTTCGACGCTCGACGACGCGACTAAACGTACCTGCGTTTGCTGGAAAATTCTACATCTTTTAAAAACAGTCTTTGTACAGTGCTTAAATTATTATATACAAAATGTAGCTGCTTAAGAGGTAAAAAAGTATCTCCTTATCGTAATTAATTGTTACGCGTTGAATCAATCAAATTCGCAGTTACAGAGTTACGTCGATTTCGTTTGCCAGATTGACCACGAAACGAACGTGGTCTTCGACTCGTATTTACCCTGCATATGTATTTACAAAAAAAGCTGCGGGTGTACGATTGTGACGTACATGTACTGCGTGCTTCGTAAATCTCGGTTTCGTAAAAAACGATCGAGGTATCGTTGTTCGAGGTTCGTCGTATTCTTAAATCGAAAATAAATGCATGATTTTTCGATACGCGAGCGAAACGCTTTTGCTCGTTTGCGTCGACGTATAATTATATAAAAAATACAAGTGCAAATATACAGATTTACAGGGTATAAATAGATGACGATCGTCGTTGGGTAAAAATCTCGACCATTGTACGAAACGGACGGGTGTGAGACCTAAAATCTAGGATCTAGGATCTAAGTACGTCAGTCCTTATCTATGCGGGCCTGAATCGAACTGCGTCGATAGTAAAACGACGATAGTAAACCGTTCGACGACTTGAAACGCACGATAGCAGAGAACGAGAGGAACCGAAGAGACTTACGCGATAGCAGCGTAAACTATCCAGCCTGGACGTTCGCGAGAGACGAGATAGAAAGTGGAAAAGTTCGGTTGTTCTGACCGACCGAGTGTGGTCAAAAAAGAAACGGTGGTGATGACGCTGGTGAT